ATCTGCTATCATCAGAAGAGCTCAAAGGAAAAGGAGCGTGTAAGACATCAAGCCCCTGCAAGTGTCAAAATGTGACATACCCAATGTAGGTTTCCAGTAGCTTAAGGAAGCACAAAAGAAAGACCCTTCATGCAGAAATTTTGGGACAATTTCCAGAAAAAATTCGAACACAAAACAAAGGGGAAAGATATTTATAGAACAGAGGATCAGAAGGGAATGTTAGACCAAATATATTAAGGTGGGTCTACTGGGGAAGCTAAACAGATCATAGTACCAACAGAATACTGGACTCAAGTGATAAAGTTGACTCATGAATCACCAGTAACTTCCATTGGCCAGGAGTCATTGGAGATGTAAGTAGATTCTGCAGAACATGTGACATCTGCCAAAGGACAATACCTAGAGGAAAGGTAGCCAAAGTGCCATTGGGGAAATGCCTCTCATAGAAGAGCCATTCAGCAGAGTAGCTGTGGGCTTGATCGGGCCACTTTGGCCTGTGTCTGACAATGGCAACAGGTATGTACTAACAATAGTCAACTATGCAACATGCTATCTGGAAACAATAGCACTGGCGAAGATAGACACAGAGAGAGTAGCAGAAGCCCTCCTGGAGATATTTTGCAGGGAAGGTTTTCCAAGAGAAATTCTCAGTGACATAGGAACACAGTTCACTTCAGAACTGAAGCAGGAGGTGTGTAGACTCATCAGTACTCAGCAGCTCTTTAACATTCCCTACAATCCTAAATGTAATGGACTTTGTGAGAGAATCAATGAAGTTTTGAAGAGCATGCTAAAGAAGATGTGCCAAGAGAGACCACATGACTGGGACAGGTACTTGCAGGCAGGATGATTTGCTTATTGAGAAGTCCCACAAGCAAATACAGGAGAGTCACCCTTTGAGTTACTGTATATGCAGCTCAAGGCAGTCAGAAACATTTGTACGACAAGAAGGCCAAGGATCGACGTTCAAGGTTGGACAGAAGGTCTTAGTTTTGCTGCTCACAGATCACAACAAACTCACCTTACAATGGAAAGAACCTTTTGAAGTACTCAACAGAATGGACTACAAGATGAATGTGAATGAGAAGGCCAAGATCTACCATGTGAATATTTTGAAGAAGTATTTTGAAAAAGAAGAAAACCTTACAGGTGAAACTATTGATATTCAACTGGAGATGGCAGGTGTGGCTGTCATGGAAGCAGGATTTGAACACAGTAACCTCACTATAGAAGATAAAGACCTATTAAGCATAAGGGCACTGAGGAGATGAGACATACAAGGATGTGAACATGAGTGTCAAACTGACTGATAGGAAGAGGAACAAAATCTACTGTGTCTGCATACAGATAGATTAGGAAATATAGACCTCAGACAGGTCAAGATGAAGATGAGGGATCCTGTTAAGGAGAAGCCCTATTGAAGACTATCATGAGAGAGACATACAAAGGAACTGTAAATGTTGGTGTAGACTGCATGAGAAGACTTAGTATGTGAACTAAGAACAGCCTTTGTATATAGCAAAAAATATTATATATATTTCTATTGAAGAGGGGTTTATGTCATGATATAAAAGACTGTTTAGTGTAGATATTAATAATTAGTTTATTTTGTGAATGAATAATTTATGATTGTTTAGTTTTTTTATTATAAGTGAGTTAAAAGCAGGTGGTTATTGGAAGTTGTGTTTGTAAGTTATTGATGTTGAGAGTATAGTGAGCAGACGATTTAATAATAAACATATAAATAGTATGAGATGAGTTGGAAACAGTAGACAGACAAAGATGATAGCAGAAGAGAGTAAAGTCATGGTCAAGGAAAGGTTTGGCATGAAATTAACTTAGGCAGAAGTGATAGTCCTAACGTTTTAACATGTTAGAGTAAGACTGAGGAAAAGAATAATAATTTATTCTGTCTAAGCGTGGTTGTAAAGTAATTGAATCAGCCTGAGTGCACTTTGACAAAAGGAACAGTGGATATTTTGAAGAAAGAAGACCAAACGATTACTGGAAGAGCATTATACGACTGGGGTAAATCATGCCACAATTGTAAGTGAATTATACACGGAATACTAGTGGATAATAATAGAGAGAATAGTTTGACTTGTCAGCTGAAATTCTGAAGTAATTGAACAGGCCTAAGTGGACTTTTGACAAGAAGAGAACCATATAGTGTTTATGATATCCCTATGATCACTATAGTTTAAAGAATTTGTTGTAAAGACGTTAAACCAGTTTCAAATAAATATATATATATGTGTATATATATGTATATATTTGTGTGTATTATTTTGAAAACAAGTGGAGAGTGTGCTGTTCGTTTATCTTTGAATTTACCACCAACAAGTCACAGACATCTACTGTAGAAGAATCCTAACCCAACAACAACATAGTGTATATTTATACTATTAAGAAGTATAAGTAAAAGCCTTTAATTGACAATTGGTAAACACTACCATAACATCTGATAATAAGTTACACAAGATAGTTCATAAACACAGGTCATTGGTGAATCCAGCCAGTCACTAGTAGATTGTCATCTATGTCGTATTGTCTGTTTAAAGACAGTTCTTTCTTTTTCTAACTGCACAATAAAGTATTTGTACCACACTGCTCAGCATAGTCAGTATCATGTTTGTGATAATTAACATGATTGTATTCACGAACCGTTTAACAGTAAATAATGTAACTGTGTTACATCATATACTTTAGTTTAAGGTTATAGATATGATTGCTCAGGAAACTTGCATTACACACACAGAAGCTAGAACCATTAACTCGACAATTTTTGGAAAACAAGAAAAATCCAGGTGTCTTTTTTAGGTTAAACGGAGACTGTTCCTGGAAATCAACAACTTATGGCTACCATTGGTTTTATTCACACTCAGTAGCTCCACCAATCTGGACAAAGAACAAACAACCAATCAAAGCACATCAATCTCAGTCTACCTCGATACAATATAAGGCTTGAAATACCTTCTACAAGCTGACTTGAAGATGAAAGGGAAAAGACTTTTGGAATATTGTCCTTTACACACTTATTTAGTTCTGCAAACTTGGGTGCCAGTTTGACAGTATAGTTCTGTAACATTGGGTGCCTGTGTGATGATGTAGTTCTGTAACATTGGGTGCCTGTGTGATGATGTAGTTCTGTAACATTGGTTGCCTGTGTGATGATGTAGTTCTGTAACATTGGGTGCCTGTGTGATGATGTAGTTCTGTAACATTGGGTGCCTGTGTGATGATGTAGTTTTGTAACATTGGGTGCCTGTGTGGTGATGTAGTTGTGTAACATTGGGTGCCTGTGTGGTGATGTAGTTTTGTAACATTGGGTGCCTGTGTGGTGATGTAGTTTTGTAACATTGGGTGCTGTCTGATGATGTAGTTCTGTAACATTGGGTGCCTGTGTGATGATGTAGTTCTGTAACATTGTAATTATGTCATCTACAACAGCCTATACTAGCTCAATAAAGACATGCTGAGTTTTCCAGGGTTTATTAACATACAAGGATGACTGACACTTCATGAACACTGGACAAGTGAAATTTACATGCTGAGGGGATATATTCAATTAAACATCAGTATAATACCATCTACATGGAACAACCAGTGTAAGCAGTACTAATAAAAGAATCACTAATGAAAAACTTCTATTTCCCCTCCCATCTCACATATAGCTCTTCTCATTCAGTGCTGCCCTCTGTATGGAAAACTTTTTTTTTGCATGCGACAACCACCAGTGTACTGCAGCTCAACATACAAATTAACATAATTGTACGACACAAACCAATTAATAATAAATACCTTCTACAACCAATAATGTGACTCAAGTTTAAGTTTAGACAAGGAGGAAACTTATCCTTTATATAAGTAATATTTATTTAACTAGAAAAATAACTCAACATAAAAAACAGAGATTTTACACTTTATTTAAAACTTAAGTACATAAAGTGTTGGTGGGGGCTGCCAAACAGATTCCTTTGCTCTAGTCAGCAGTTTAAAATGAGTGATAGTGGGAGTAGCTTTGCCATTACACATAGTAAGTGATTAAGTTTGGTTGTAGTTGTGTTGATAAAGTTGATTACAGTTAATATCTCTTTTTTTTTTTTGCATGTGATAAGTCGCATCAAATGAAGTGAGGTATATGTTAAATACAACACAGTTTGGATCACTAAAATATTTATAAGTCTACTTACCTTTCTCTGTCTCATCAGGTTAAATAGTTGATAAATACAATGCTTCTATTCATCATTAAAACATTTAACAAAGTTTATATTATTGTTTACTTACCTTATCTGTTTACTAATGTTAAACACAGCACAGTTGATACATACAATGTTTATATTTATCATCAAAACAATTAACAAAGTTTATATTATTGTTTACTTACCTTATCTGTTTACTAATGTTAAACACAACACAGTTGATATAATGTTTATATTCATCATTAAAACAATTAACAAAGTTTATATTATTGTTTACTTACCTTATCTGTTTACTAATGTTAAACACAACACAGTTGATACATACAATGTTTATATTTATCATTAAAACAATTAACAAAGTTTATATTATTGTTTACTTACCTTATCTGTTTACTAATGTTAAACACAACACAGTTGATACATACAATGTTTATATTCATCATTAAAACTTTATATAGTATGAAGGTTTAGAGTTTAGTATTTCAGTAGTTCACTAATGTCCTACTTTGTGTAATTATATATGTATATATATATACATAGTGGGGTAAAAACCTACTGCCAGTCATGTTTAAACTACATGAAATTGTTGGTAAAAATTGCCATGATTTGTTACTAGATATTGTGTTTTAAAAACAATCAATGCTAGATAAAGATGATTTGTAACAGTTTAAGTGTGAAAAAGCTTGTGAATTGATATAAAAGTTATCAAGCTAATGTGAATTTTAAAGTGAGTACATGATGAAAACTTTAGTCTCTGTGAAGGATGCAAGTACTAATACTTAACATGTTTCTTTGTAGTCTAACTGCAACTTTGGTGTAAATATAAAGGTGAAGATGTAACTATGGAAGTATTAAAGATAAAGGCTGAACCCTTTCCTGATGAGAAGCAGGATGCTTTGTTAGATGTCAAACTGATGAAAAATGAAGATGAAACATTTACATTACCAAGGAGTAAGTGTATATACTTAGAATTTAAATGTTGTGTTTTTCCCAACACAAACATTTTGAACATTATCCATTTAACAGTTCACCAGAACTTTCAATTATTGATTGGAAATATATTATTCCTAAACATACTTACCATCTGCTGCCACTTATAGCTATTCCTTGATCTTCTCTTTATCCATCTAAGCATTGGTCTTGCTTGCTTCAGTTTTTTTTAACCCAATTAAATGCCCTTGACAATTTTTACCTTATGACACTCTCCACCTACGTCAATGTGTCCTCTTTCTTGGTACTGTATATAAGCACCTCACTCAGATAATGTAACCACTTTTTAGAAACTTACACCATCCCAGTCACTAACATTGGCTCTTAGTGGGAAGAGTATCAGTGGAGATATTATTGGAAATAGATTTTCAATTTAGGAAAATGTTAACTTCCAAAACATACTTGCCATCTGCTGACACTTATAGCTAGAATTCTACACTGAGAAGGTGAAGGCATTATCGATAGAGAAAATGACTGCATAGGTCATGGGTGTAACAAGATAAGAGTGGTACCTGAGTGGGGGAACCACACTACATCCAGAACAGGTATGCTCTTCACCCTGAACTTAGTTCCTGTATCAAGGGTGGCACTGTACAAGAATGATCATCACTTTAGGCCAGCCCCAACCAGATAGCCGAGGTTCAACTACTCAGAGTTGGAATTAAGGGATCTAAGTCCCTATATCCCACATTGGTGGCTAGGGCAACTGGACCAAAACGTTATATACAGATACACATTTGATTGGATCCCAACCTGCAGCCATAGAGTGATGCATTCTGAACCACCAGAATCACAACAAGAAAGTAAGCAATATCAAAGCAAACAAATGTTTCCTTCCACCTAAAGAAGCCCAAAAAGCAGCATCTCAGGCTTGGAATGATGGGATCATGTATGCCTTACTCAACCAAAGGAACAGAACTCATCTGGTCTGGAATTATGAGCATTCATCCTTACTTCCCAACCAAGTGGTCAATAAACATTCCACTTGACCCCGGAATTATGGAGAGGATGTCGAACACTGTGCTCAACCAAGGACCTAGGATGGGAACACTCTGCATTCGGAATTATGAGGAGATAGTGGACATCCTTCCATGAACAATATACCAACTCGACAATGATAAAAAAAAAAGGGCCATGCACAAATCTGAACCAGTATCATGAGAGGGCTCCCATGAAGGCTTATGCCTCTCCTACCTACATCTGAGAAAGACATCCAGGGACTCGGGTAGGAGGGCCCCCAACTTCACCCTCTTCTCCACAACTCCCCAAAGCATGTTACCTCCACCCCAGATCCTACTAATGGAGTTAGGGAGTTCTTACCATACCCAGTTTCCAGTCAAGTGGAATGTTTATTGCCCAGTGCTCTGAAAACAGTGCAATAGGTGAACCAAGTTCCCTAAATTTTTAAAAGCAAGCCGATCCCTATTTATCAAACTTAGTGATCAGAAGGGATAGGCAGGATCCCCTGTAGCTTGATAGTCCATGAGTGGTGGTCCAGCAGAATATGGTAACACCATCTGGTGAGTGCCTAGATGGTCTAATGGAACACCTCATTTCTACAGAGCCTATTACAACCAGTAGGAAGTATAGTTAGATTTGGTGCTAGTGTGGAATTGGATTGATATAACCACACCTTTCTGGGAAACACTTGCCATAGAGTGGGATCCCATGAAAAAAAAATAGGTAAAGACCCTGGAAAGGAATAAGGCAAGAGGAGGACAAAAATACTCACTAATCCTTATAATTTAGCAGATGTTGTTACAACAAACACAGGGGGTAGTTGAAAATCCTTAGAAGAAGAAACTGTCAGGTTGTGTAAAGAATGTGAGAGACACATCTTGGGAGAAGGCCACATAACAGCCCGTATAATGATCTCCAGTGGGTAATTGAAATGGGCCAAGAAAGACATAGAAATGTGGTGAATCTGATGAAATGTGACTCTCAGAAGTTTTGTTGCGTGTAAAGAAAGTCCAGAATAAGCAACATGGATATTTGTTAATTCACCTCATATTAATTGGAGATAAATCTCGAGAAACCAAAGGATCCCAATGAATACAGAGTTGAGTATCATCACCTCGAAAGAAGTAAGTGCGAGCCGCATAACACCTCAGGGCTCTGTCAAGACATAACAAATTATTAGTGTTTCATTAGTCATAGAAGTGAGAAATAGCTGGCTAAAGAATTGATGACAAGGATTAACCCCTTCCCTGGCTGCCAGAGTATTAGGAAGAAAAGAACTGACAGGGTATAGCAGGACCAAAGTGGAGGGATAAAGTCCTGTGCACATGTAGCACAAACAACTTTGACCTACAACATTTACTTGCCAGCCGCAACAAAAATACCCATTAACGGAAATGTGATGCATGGTACCTGAGGCTAAAGGCTTGAAAGGATGTTGAGACAAAACATGTTTTGCCACCCTAATATACCAGTGAAGTAAATGAAAAGGCTTTTTGGGTAGAAGCACTCTAAACGATTGGAAAAGACTGGATAGCACTGAAGAGTCAAAACTTTCTGATGTTTAAAATAACGAAAAGTAGTTGATAAAGCTGCCTTACATAAAATGAATGTAGACAAAGCTAGACCCAAGTCAAAAAATGAGATATGGTGGGCATGCTTAGGTGAAGTGGGTTCAAACTCCTTGTGAGACACACACAAGTCAATTTTAGAAGTTTAACCCCAATAAGCTTGGGAATGTTTGGGTGTAGAATGTTGGATCAAGGTTACCTCAACAGAGATAGCCAAAGAGGAAGAGGTAGATGTGGACCCTCTTGAAGACACTGTAGAAGAGGAAACCATGGTTAGGCCCTCCAACCTGGTTCTACCAACAGCTCTAAAGCAGGAAATTGAATCATAGCCAAAACTATGAGTAACAGATGAATTGGGGGAAAAGCATAGAGGTGCAATCCCATACAATGATACCCTGTATTTACATATATTCAGGTTTTTTTTATTTCACTTTATGATAGCCTGTACTTACATATATTCAGGTTTTTTTAATTCAATTTTTGATAGTCTGTACTTACATATATTCAGTTTTTTTTCACTTTATGATAGCCTGTACTTGCATATATTCAGCTTTTCTTATTTCACTTTGGAATCCTGTACTTACATATATTCAGGTTTGTTTTTTTTCACTTTATGATAGCCTCTAATTACATATATTCAGGTTTTTTATTTCACTTGATGATAGCCTGTACTTACATATATTCAGATTTGTTTTCACTTTATGATAGCTTGTACTTACTTATATTCAGGTTTTTTTATTTCACTTTATGATAGCCTGTACTTGCATATATTCAGGTTTTTCTATTTAACTTTATGATAGCCTGCACTTACTTATATTCAGGTTTTTTTATTTCACTTTATGATAGCCTATAGTTACATACATTCAGGTTTTTTATTTCACTTTATGATAGCCTGTACTTGCATATATTCAGGTTTTTCTATTTAACTTTATGATAGCCTGCACTTACTTATATTCAGGTTTTTTATTTCACTTTATGGTAGCCTGTAGTTACATACATTCAGGTTTTTTATTTCACTTTATGATAGCCTGCAGTTACTTATATTCAGGTTTTTTTATTTCACTTTATGATAGCCTGTAGTTA